TCTTTCGTGTATTTTTAGACACAGCAGCCACGACAGTCACTCACGACGTATTGATGCTGCAAATGCCACAACCTCCGTTGCCCATTTTTCACATGGCTGCCACGTACAAAGTACCAACAAGCAACTAGCTAACCACTTTCCGCCCTCGAGCTCACCTAAGTTAGGCATACATGCCATGCGCCAACAACTATGCCTGCGCTAGTGCCAGCGGTCCGGTTTCCTAAAAAGCCGTATTGGCTGCTGTCAGCAACAAAGTTTTCCTAGAATAGCGGAGCCAAACCTTGTTTCAGACCTTTGGAATAGAATGCATCGGACGATGGTCTTGTAAAGACTGTGGGAGCGAACAGATGTTCTACTGAGTACATGCAATTTATTGCTTCAGAATTCAAGTTATAAAATGGTTGCTTGATCCTATAACATGTATGCGCAAGCAGACTGTTTGAGAGTGCCTTGCGACAGCAACTTATAACTGTTTACGTTTAACAACGCAGCATTTTGTCTTCATGTCGTCGTTTATCCTCTGAGTTTACTAGCAATGTCCCTACAAAGGCCTGGCAGTAAGTGCGTTGAACTAACACGAGAGGAGGTCAACTCAGGGTACGGCATGCGTTATTAGGGAAGTAAACCCATAAAAATGCCAGACAGGGGGAGGGGTGTTGGTGGCACGCCTAGACGTAGGTTCCGGCCGCAGCAGCCAACTGCGCCCGATTCTACCTCTGATCTAGTTCACTCTGTCATGACGCGGTGGGTGATATGAGTGATAGAGGAAAAAGTGTGGTAGGTGCGGTGAAAGTCTACCCTTGCTTTAAATTAGTTCACGCCTAGGTCATCGTCCACCGCGCCTATCATGAGGTTGGGCATCGTCATTAGGAAGGTTCGAACTGTTCTTTGCCTTGGTTTACCTATGGATTTTGCAATAAAAATTTTTGCAATTCTTCCCAAAATGTTTGGTCTTCTAGAGTTCTTCTGCCTTGTGAGGGTACTTGTCCGCCTGTAATGTGACCACGAATACTTGACCGTTCTCATAGATATGCCTAAAGTTTTAGCCACCTCCACTCACTTCACCCTGACCTCCTTCATACCTATGGCTCGAGCTGTGTCCTCTGACCTTCGCGCTATTAGAGTCTCAGACACTAGCTTACAGTTTTCTATTACATGTGTACTGCTGAACTATGTAATAAACACTGTGTACAAAAGCTGTTTAAAAATAAATCAACAACCAATGAGGTTGAGTAATACATAAGTATTATTTATGAATATTAACTTATAAAGAAGGTATCGACATTTTAAAAGGTGCAAATAATTTTAAGACACGCTATAGGTATTTATTACATTTCTTTGTAATTACGATCATTAGAATCGGAGAAAAAGTGGAGATGTCTGCTGAAAGTCGGTCATACTCATTAAAATTATAATTTGCAGCAGCAAAAGCTGTGCGGTAGCTCCTTTGATTTTTATAGTGGAGAAACCTCTATGGAGAACGAACGGGGGATAAGTACGTTGAAAACATGCGCCTTAATGATTTATTGCCGTTCCAAAGCTGCCGGCCCGAACTCGAATCGGACGTTGACTTTTAAGTGAAGAGGTTGCCTGCCTCAGGCTGAATCGTCAATCCTATAAAACCCAGTGCGTGTGTTAAGTATCTTCAGATGGCGGAGATGGAGAAACTGTTTAACCTCACGAATCTGCTAATTGCAGTAAACCCATATGTTTGTTTCTCTACCAGAAGTGCACCAACTTAAAGCGAGAATGTAGCTGTAGCAAATCCTTTCTCTTTTTCCCTTGGGAATTTGGGGAGCAGTCAGTGACTTTTAATCAAAATTCTGAAATGCGTTTTCGATTAGAAAGGACTGCCTAAATGAGAATGTGAAAATCATTAACAGAGAACGTAATCGCAAAATACTCTAGGTACGCCAGAATGCAGACTTTTAGATGAACGCCTTTTAAAGCTAACGCGCAAACTGCACTCGGTAAAAAATGGCCACTTATGAATGTGTACTTTTATATTGCTTTTCAATGTCCCTATAAATTGAAATATAATTTGTAGAAAATATAGGCAAACTCACCTAGGCTAAAGGAGTATACTCAAAGGAAGGCTATATTCATGTTCATAAGGAGTTTATAATAATGAGATTTTTAAGGCCTGCAATACTAATCATCATAGCATCGTATCGGTCTCTTTAGTAATGCTCCTTATGTGGTCTTTGTAAGGAATGCTTAAGTTTTCCTTCACCGAAAATATACAGTCTGAAGACTGAAAACGCGCCGGTATATCCGGGTTCAAATTATTTGGAAATCGGAAAACGATTTTACAACATAAATATACCGTTTCTCGGGGTAGAAAATTGCCTAGAGACGTAATTCGCTATCAAGTGCATACAGAAAATAATATAATCACCCACGTTCTCTATGTAACATATTTAACTTTACGAGGGCACCGAATGCTTGCGACCTAAATAGGCATTTTTACCAAGTGTGGACTTTTAGGTGGCTGGAAGAATGTGCATTAAAAGCCGCAGTCCAGTTGTGTGAAAAATATTTTGGGATTATGCTGTAAGGTAATTAATATCACAATTTCACATAAGAAAACACACGCCAGAGATCGGTCATTGATGCTCGGTCCATAGTTTCTGAGCGCCTGTGCAGAGATGATAACACTAGCTAATGCCTATGTTTCGTCCAGCAACCAGTTGGCATTTTAAAAAACCATAGGCATCAGGGCATAAATCCACGGCTTATGAGCAGAATACCAAAAGTAAAACGGCAGCATCTAGAAGACGCGTGCTTTGGATATGGCTAAATTATGAAAATGTTCCTTATCCTCCCCCCCTCCTCCTCCACCGGTAAACCACATTTGTGTCCAAGAGGTGTAGGCCTCCTGGC